AAATGCCGCAAACAATACGGGAACCCGATCGTAGTTGACGCGTTTCCGGCGGAAACGTTTGCGGAAGTGTGTAATAGTCCCACCGTTGTGTGACGATTTCAACGATGCTTTCACTTCATCCTTGTTTTAATCTATTCTTTTTTGTACTTATCTATCTTTTCTATCCTTTCGTGTCCGTGATATTTTTTTCATAATAGATAATACATAAAAATAATGCTAATTTAACCCCAGTATCGTAAATATAAGTTATATTAAGTTAATTTTAATATAAGTTTCACTAGGTCGTGCAAATAAGATCAAAGTATCAAAAGTTCCAATGCAAGTACACATAATGTTTATTATACACATTATGTTATCTCTTATTATGTAATTTTGAATAAAACTATGAGATAAATTATATTTCACATGCGTTAAACTGATAAAAGGATTGCCTGTATCGCTTCGACTAAATATTATTATTTCTCAGTGGACCTAGATCTTTACAAAATAACTCGAATTGTTCCTCATGCATTTAAAGAGTAAATTCTCACGGTTCACGTGGTATTCATGTCAGCCTTAAATCAACAAGAGTATCGCACGGAACGAGATACTGCTTCGAAGTCCCCGTTACAACGCATAATTGCATCTAAATGGAATCAACGGCAAACTCCAGAATCAATGAGCCGCCCCTGGAGTCGAGTACGGTGATAAAATGCCATTAAAGGTGATACGGTTCGTCGTAACGATCGATTTTTCGATTTATGACGATAAACCCGACGGATTCGCAATATCATGGTTGAAGTATGAGATGTAGACTTACATACATGAGGTACGGGACAGCTCATAGTATTCATGCTCCTTCTAAAAGAGTTACATACTTTTTAAGATACATATCATAAGCACTGTATTCATTTTAACGTACAATTTATTCTTTCGAAAAGAATTATGTAGTTTATATTTATATTTGCAAACTTTTCTCAATTTACTGTCCGAGAAAATGTATACGTTAATAATAAATACAATATTCAATATTAATTCGTTGTTCTGTAGACAAAAGAATTATACCGGTAATAAAAAGTTCTTTTATTTAACGAATTTTTTATAACACACGTTTGATAATTATTAAGTCTCTGTTTTGTATTCATCGTATCATAATTTTTGTGATATCTACGATTGCAGTTTAAGTCAAAACAGAAAAAAGATTCCGGTTTTCCAAGATATTTTTCTTGAACATTCTTTGCGACACATTTTCTAAAAGTAGCAGTTGTATGTATCCGAAAAAGAAGAAGTCAAGAGCCGCGTTGAAAGAGGAGGATGCTATGGTATAGCACGCGCTTATAACGTGGAACGCGTGTTTGCATAAAAGCCGCTATTCACTTTTGCCATATACATATACTATATACGAATACACCATACCTATCCACCGTTTCCGCGATGGGAGCGATGCGACGCATTTCGGACACACAGTATTTTGCAATTTTCAACGACGGAATGCGTGTAATACTTCACATGTAGGTATGCAGATATGCTTACCTATCCTCCTCCTTTAACCTGGCTAGCTGTTCAAATGAGCGCGCAAAGGACGCAGCGAGTCTTGTTTCAAGTGATTCTTGCAACAGGAAAAACTGTCACGCTCCTTGTAACTATTTTCCCGTAATTATTCATGAGAGAGCCCTTACTCTCCCGCGTATCTTTACCTCTTCACTCCATTTTTTAACACTCTTCACTACTACCCGCATCGTCCACGATGCATAGCAAAGAAATCTTAAATTGTATTTTTGTTCTTATATCCATTTTTAATTACATAAGTGCACCCTTAAAATAATTATATCTTTCCACTCTTTCTCTCTAATTTTCTGTTAGATTACCCTACATTCTTAATGGTAATTAGATAAGCATTGCGTGCAACGATCCTGAGTTTTATTTTAAGTTACGATTTAGTTCAAGACATGATTATATAGAATTTCGCTAGAAGAACGAGTCTGATTGACGTCGTTAACTACATAATGCTAGATCTGACTCACAGGATTACGAAGTGACACGTTAGATAAGAATTACATGCATGCGCCTATATTTCAAACTTTTCCTTTCCGACTTCGATAAAGACATACTTATCCTCTTTCATGCATTACTTTTAAGAGTACATATTGAATGGAGTAACAAAAATATAACAGTATATAAATAGAAAGATATATAATAAAAAATAGCCTGACTAATAAATGCTGTATGATAGAGACGGTGATATTTTCAAAAGGTATTCCGTATGCATTATATAACGTATTATTTATGTTTGTTTTTCAATCTACAGTTTTGGTGTATCTTGAATTGAAAAAGTTAGATGATTCACACTGTATATCGGCGTTAGCACATTTTTCTCATGCGTGAATCTAGATAGTTGGGAAATGTTTCGTTTTCATTCGATTTATGTTTGTTTTGGGGAAAGAGTGATTTACGTAGCAAGATAGCATGATAAATGAATGACCAAGCGCTTCCCGTATTTTTCGTCTTCTTTATCGAATTAAATCAGATTAATTGAGAAAAATTGCCTGCAATTATTTCTATCTATGCTTGTTTGAAAATTATGACGTACCCCAGATAAAAAAATGTAGATTTTTTAATTCTGTTTACAATAACATGTATCTCGAATTACATAAGATAAAAAAGAGAAGTCAACGAATCAAATTCTGTTCTGCATTTCTGCAGAAAATTCTAATATTAAGGGAGTCACTGTATTTTGGAGGAAATAAAAATAATTTGAAAGCCTATACCTGATGAAATCCATTCATTTATCTAATCAAATGAGTTATTAACTAATTTCAGTTAACTAATTGTTCATTACGTCTAGCACCTATTATTATCGTTATGCAGAGAATTAAAACTATTAGTAGATATCATTCGCAAGCGGTATGAGCATAAGAAGCTTAAAATTACGAACAACCCAGTCTGCACTAATACGTAGATAATGGAACATACTCTGCACTGATTATAAGACCATAATACCGACGTCAATACCCTCCTCGTACTTCCCTGAATGTAGAATATAGAATATGATGTATTTGGGAATTATTGAAAGGATTTAAGAGTAAACTAAAGAAGGACGCACAGATTGAGAACTACAATATATGCGTTAAGAAGGCTCGTCAAATTTTTCTCGTACGAATCGTTTTCGATTTTCTGAAATCAAGAAAGCGAGAGGAGTACCAACACGAAGAGAAGGATCTCCAATTAAGAGTGGGCCAGGGAAAAGGGGTATATGCGGTGTGGGTCGTGAGTGTCACGAGGACATCGTTACAGCCCCAAGATCGCCATTATGCCGCGACAAGGACGACCCTAATGACGCGACGCGAGCCCTCGTGATTTATGGTCTAAGCGAAAATGTTCCGTGGAACGCCGCCGAGCCATGTATCCATAGACCAACTTTCGGCGAGATACTTTGCAAGCCTAGATTAAGAGAATAATGGGACTGGTTTTTGTCCTGCTACCGTCGACGAGATCAACTCGAAAAGGACGCAGTAATATGAGAACGTTCGCTTGTACGTAGTTTCGAGTAGGCCAAGTTTCTCATTAACCGTTCAAAAACCACACTATCGATTATCGCTGATTAAACGTTACTTTCGAGTGCTACCAATTTTTTACTTAATGAAGCAATAACTGTGGTACTCGTGAACATTTACTTCAAACTTTTCTTCGTACCGTGCAATTTATTTCAATTATTTCAAACATACGTTGACTCGAAACTTATTATTGTAATTATTAAACTTCATTGAACTGGCTCGACGATCCTACTTATTGTATGTATATAACATAATCGAAAGCAACATTCACTTTTACAAAAACTTTAATACTTTTAATATCATTGTATGATAATAGTTTTCGTTAAAAATATTCTGTGAAATGTCAATTTTCAGCAGACAATTCGTGGTAGTTACTTGAATTCGCGGAAATAATTGTGCATTTTCTCTGAAAGGTTTGATAACTTTGAAAGAGTTATATACGCTCATAGCGATCCCCGTTGGTATTTCAGTTCGCCGCATTTAACCGTAGCTGAGAGAATCATAATTTGGACGATATTATGACTTAAAATTACAACGGTACATGTGACCGCCTCGTGCAATAACTGAATCCGTTGGTCACCAGAAACGCAGTAATTTAATATTCACTCGTCGCTACAACGTTATCGTTGACTTCAACCGCATGCATAGAAACATGCGGGGTTCTATGTGGTCCGCTGCCCATAACTGTTATTATAGCTTAAATTTAGCCCCCGGTGAATAAAAGAACAACACATTCGTATTGCACACAATTTTAACTCGGACATTTGCCACAAAATAATTCCACTGTCCAGCAAGGGCTTTTCACATTTATTTACTTTTATCCCAATTTCAATAATACGATCGTTAATGAATGTTTTATAAAAGTCGACCGATTTTTCTCTGTTAACATTGTGAATTCGACACATTCGCACAGAAATAATATAATCAACATTCTCTTTACAATTAATTCCCGCAATACTGGCAATGCAGCGTAACCACTGGACGACTAGTTAACATCCCAAAACCTTTACAAATCGCGCAATGACCCGATTTCAATTTCCGCCACGTAATCCGTAATCGCGTTCCAGCCCCGAAAACAAACGAATTCGCTAATTCAGCTCTCTCTTTTATTCGGCAAAAGTGTCAGAATCGCGCGGTCGGTAACCCGTCAATTGTCCCTATCGCTTGAAGAAAAACGAGAGAGAACCGATGATCGTCCGGGTACCTCGTCAAATTCTCGTTACAGTTGATTACCGGAGATCCATCGCGCGCTTGTCTCGCGTCGCGCCGTGGAAAGTTGGGTGGCAGACTCGGATTTATCGGTGACATTCGAAATCGTCGGATCAAAGGGTAGCATACACGTATTCTAGCAGATTGGAATTCGATGATGCTGCGATTGCTCTTCGGTCCCGATAACTGGCCCGTGAACTGGCCAGCGGGCAGAGGTAGCAGAGATACAGACGCGCGTACAAAGACACATTTACTCACCTGACACGGTCAGATAGACAGTTCTGATTAATGGGGGATGAGCACTGACTTGACACTCGTACAGGCCACCGTCTCGTTCCGTCGCCGTGCGCAAAAGCAGCCGCCAATCATTTGGCTTCTCAAAAGCTAACGTGAACCTCGAGTCGCTCGCATACGTGTCCAGACCGATCGTGAGCAAATGAAGCTCATCACCGCGTCTGCGAACCCACGACACCTGGAACAAAAAGGTAATCAATCGATTATCTAGTCTATGTCCTGAACGTTTGGTTTGGTCAACATCCATCAAATAGATACTTTTTTGATGTTTTAAAATATCCAGACGTTGGTGTGTATAAATATATGATTGGTTCGTATGATTTTCAATGCACAGATTAGATTCTTTTTAATTTATAAGAAAAATAAAATGCCTAAAAAAAATTGTATTCGGAAAAAAAGATTTTTTCAAAGCATTCATTTTTTGATACCATTTATAAAAAATATCTTTCCTATCATCAACGAATGAAAGAGATATTTAAGTGGTTACATTTAGGTGGACCAGACCTATATACTATGTGATAGCTGACCAATAAAATGGATTCGAGTGCGATTTCGCTGAAGTAAAAAAGGACGTTTGCTTGTATTTCACATTAAATGAAAATCTACTATGAAAATCTATGACAGACAGAGGGCCTTTTCTTAGAACCGTGCGGTCATATCAAGCTCAAATAGTGGAGCAAGTTATAGCAATGTAAATTTAATGTAAATCGAACACCCTCTACGTCTGGCTACACGAAGCGTATTCGAATTCAATTCAGATATCATCTTGCCAGTAGACTGTACACTGTATGTTATGTATCTATTCCTCCTGTCACACTGTTGTCGCATGTCTTCCGAGATAAATCACCTTTCCAGGCGACGCAAAGAGAGTCGAGTGTTAAAGAAAAGGTAGCAAGTGTGTAGAAAAACCCTTGAGAAATGAAAACTTCGTTGGTGATAACGCGATCATGATGTCGCTACATCAAAGCAACCGAATTCCGTCTCAAAGCCGCCGGTAAACAACATCTATTTTCTTTCCGACCAGTACAAAGAGATTTGACATAATTTCTATTGTCCTTTTATAAAACAGAATATTTTTATAATTTGAAATACTTTGATACAATTTTTAAACACAATTATAATACGAAAGTAACGATTTCACCGTTCTGCTATAATTAGTTCTACTATTTCAGGAATGAAAATTTAAAATCCACATTGGAGTACCGCGCATTATGCCGTGTTTCGATCTGAAATCTATTATAAATCGTTCAAGCGTTGATTCATTTCATCTGTGAGCCAGCTGCGATGATTCGAGGCCGAAGGTTAACGTCTCGTGGAAAATCCATGGGTACGAATTTAATACAGTTCTCGTAGTCGGTGTTACCGGAGTTTGATACGAAGGAGTTAAAGAATCGTTAGGCGCGGCGGGAATCGCTAGAAGAGAAACCTGCATATTTCGAGGTACGTTGCACCGGCCGAATGCTCGAGACACAAAGTAGACAGCTTGAGCGGGCACCTACGGTCGTTTGTCATTATTATAAAAGGCTCAACGATGAATAATTACGTCTTAAGGAAAGTTTCTTGTTACAAGACTACGTGAACCTTTATCCCGATTTCCGTACACGCGCGCCAAAGTTCGATACTGCGATTATATAATATCTATATCTGACGGGATAGTTAATTGAAATCCGATGTTCTCTATTTCGCGACGCGGAAGCCTAGACCGGCCTAAGTGAAAAGTTCGTTTCGTGAGACTGAAAAAGGTGGGAGTGGAACTTGATCAATGTTGTTCAGCGTAAAAATATTGAGAGGTTGGATATCGCAGTTTGCGAGGAGTTTCTCGGGACGTGCGAAATTCTTTAAAGTTTCGGGAATCAAATAACCAAGGAATGTTCCTTCGAGCGGTATTAATAATAATTTTTCTTTCTCGATGTGTTCTTCATAATTTTAGAACTTTCGACTGTGTCGAAATTTATAACAAATAAATAAAAGTTCTGTTCGGTTTCCTAAACTATTAATCTGATTAAACTCACTCTCGTAGAAAAAGGTATTAAAAAGAAAGTTTTAGAATACATTGCATTCCATACATTTTATAATTTCTACATTTACATGCAGACGTCTAACATTGTAACAGTCAACGAAATAATTAAAAGGCATATTGCATGCGCGAGTGAAGCAGACTTGATTCGAATTTGCATATCGTGTTTCTTCCATTTATGCCCTACGACCAAGGGTGGGAGATCAATCAATCAAAACTAATCAAATTAAGAACACTTTAAAGTACTTGGTGACTTCTTAGCTAGAGGCATTGATAAGGTCTTTTCCCGAAGAAAATTAAACGTTCCTTAATTATATCTTTGCTATTTCGAAACTAAAGTAGAACTTCAATTTCCTTCAAATTTATAGTTACGTAAAACATGAATGAATGAAAGTAGAGTATACCATCGCGATTAAATAAATGCAACTTCATCTTGTAGAATTTCAAGTTATAGAAATATTACGTTGCAGCGAACTCTACTTGTTCGTACAAATTTACCACTATTTATTTTTATTCTTATGTACGTTCTTACATATTAGAAAAATAATTAATTACTATAAATTGAGATATTAAGTACATATTGAGTACGAATTAAATTGGCTTTCAAAGAGTTAATGAATAATGAGAATGTAAAAAAAGGAGATCCACGATTCGCCAAGAGTGCATAAATAGAGAAGAATCACCATTCCACAGTAGTTCTCTACAATACTAAACTACGATCAGCTACCTACGATTTCCTCGTAAATTACGTGGGGAACAAAACACGAGGCAGATAAACGACGCCAATGGAGCAAAAGCGTCTTTCCTTCGTTTTCACTCTCGCCTCGACGGAACAAAGAGAAAAAGAGGACCGTTGACATTAAACACGGTAACTAGGAAACGGTAAAAGAAAGAAACGAAGACAGACAACGGCACGTAACGCTGCGACTCTCGATAACAAGGTGTAATAATGTTTGTCTGTCGTTGCACTGTCCGAGATAAATCGTCGCTCGTCGAATCAGCAGTTTAAAATGCGAGATCGAGGGAGCTGAACGGTGCCGACCCGCGTGCTCGATAGACCGAGCTACGATCCGTTAAGACTAAGACAATCCGATAAAACACGATACTCCTCTTAAAAATGGAGCGTATCGATCGTATCAATCTTTGGCACGATCATAACCGGGACGCGGCCTGTCTCTGGGAATGAGTAGTGCAGTCACATCTTGCTAAGTGAGCCGGAAAAAAAGGAAGAGAGTTATATCGGTTTTCACGCACAGCACTGTTGCCGAAGATATTTCAGCAGCCGTGAAATCTGCTACAAGTCAATGAGAAGAAATATTGACCGTGTGAACAAAAGACCTTTCGGTTGAAATCGAATCGGTCGAGAACGATAATTTTTTCATCTGAGATATATTATTGCCCCCAAAGATTTCTTGCCAATTCTCAATTTCAACTAATATTCGCTTAATATGTACATTCAGTTAATATAACTTTATAATGTTATGAAAATCAAAGCTGATATAGGGAGAAATTTATTTAACTTTTACAAATTGCAAGTACTTCTCTGGCACGCTCTGTGCCACAGTTATACGAACAGAATTTCGTGTTCTCATTCGACGCATATAAAGGTACGACTGAAAATAATTTCCCATTCCCGCAAGATGATCGACCTATCGAATGCTGTTCAGAAAACTTTAATTAGCTTCTGGCTGTCGCTGGCAAACTGCAGCGAAACTTCGTTCTCACGACAAGCAACGAAGACACAACAATGGTCATGAAAGAAACAGGATAGCACCTGACACAGATGCGAGGAGTACTGTGGAGGAATTAATTGAAAAGAAGCCATTACTATTCCATCTGGAGACGCGAAGATAGTGGAGAAAAAAGTTCAAGTAAAATGTTTAATGAGATTATTCAGCGAAGTTTAATATTTTATATTATATTATATATTATTATAACATTTATTTCATAAAACGTTAATGATCATTTAGTGTTAATGATCATAGATCATTTTCAATTTCCATACATGGTTTCATACGAACAAATGTGTTTCCGGTACAGCGTGAATATTCGATTACTCATCTAGCATCTCGACAAAGCTCTTCCGTTCCGTGAAACGTAACTCGTCAAAATAATTAATACGTTGCTGTCGAATAACGAATACACAGACACGCAATTACGAAAGCTCAAAATACAGTTGCGTTCGAGCGTTATGTATGTATGTATGTATGTATACAGATACATATATGTGTATGCATCTTTCAGTAATTAACAAATATTTTTTGTGAATTGAAAAAGATAGCAGATTCAAATTTCGCTGGAATTAAATTCGAACAAACGAGCGACAGAGCAGTCATCTTCAATTTCAAATTCGTTTTTATGGAAACTAAACTCTCGTCAAAACACATTTCTCTTGTTCCTCAATAGTACTTTAATAAATACTACTTCTCTGATCGATCACTATTCGTGATAGAACAGAGGACGTCCAGATCAGCCTATACACGATTGAATGATGTGTTAAATTATATGTTACATATTGTTGGTAGCTAGGCACTGCTACACATTTCTTTTAGGTCTTCGCTTTTGTGTATTTATATCTTAACTCTCTATTATATTATCTCGTTTCCTGTTTCTTGATTTTCACGTTGCTCGCGTGATTCACTCATCTATTTTTCATTTTTAGCTTTATCTTCATTTCCTTTATTCTTTCATTTAGTGATGGTTAGTTTCTACCGCCAAAGGCCTAAGAACTCTTTTCATTTTTTATTACTCTTTCCCGCCATCTTCAAATTTTTCTGTGTATTTTTCTTTTCCCTTCATTCCGTCGATTCTCTCTTTCCTACGTCTATTTCTGTCTTTTTTCGCTTTCATCAGTCTTGACCAAGCAGAATTAGTAAGCACATCTGACTTGTATTACCAATTGAAGATTATATTAAAACTATTAAAAGACAATTCTTGGCAAATGGAATCATTGGCTTATATCTTAACGAATATTATTGTTTCGGTTTTATATAATTAGTCATTAATATTTCCCATTGAATGTTTTGAATATTCATAGGAAAGGTTCATTCAGTAATCATAGTTCAATAATACTCGAATTCACGATGAGGCAATGAACCATTCCTCTAATCGGGGATAATCATAAATGGCGCAAGCTAATTCCAAATTTCCGGCAACTTTAC